CCATTGCAGTGAGTGTGGTTGGGGCTTTGCTTCCGTGAAGACTGACAGCCTTCGAGACCCCGTAGGGCAGTTCCACCCTGGGAAGGGACCCTGAAAATGAGACAGTGCCAGGGGTGGCTGCTTTGCCCATCTGCGGTTGCTGTCTGCAGAAACGTAACATTTAATATGAACGCAAACATGTGTGGAAGTAAAATTTAGTCTCAACACTTAACAGATGCCAGGGTCTGCGACAACCTTATGCTAGTACCTTCCCCTTGACTGTGGTGGGAGACCCCGGCTCCAGCCAGTGGGTCACCTGGGCCTGCTCTGCCCCTCCTCTGCCCGGGTTTGGTCCTCCCAGTGACCCCCTCGATAACAGTGGACGTGAGGCCCCAGAGGTGAAAGTTGTGACTGTCCACAGCCTGCAACAAAGTCAGGGCAGAGGCCAAGGTCACCTCTGGGGTTGTGGGCAGGTGTCAAGTAACCTTGACCCATAGCAAGCACAAACACGATGGCACAAAATGCTGCCCGGTCCATACCAGCTGCATGATCAATTGCAGATCAAACCATTGTGATCCACAGGGTCTCCAAGGCTGTCAGTCTTCACGGAAGCAAAGCCCCAACCACACCCACTGCTATGGAGTCAATTCTGACTCACAGCGCCCCTAGAGGACAGAGCGGAACTGCACCACAGGGTGTCCAAGGCTGTTAGTCTTCACAGAAGCAAAGCCCAAACCACACCCACTGCCCTGGAGTTGATTCCGACTCACAGCGCCCCTAGAGGACAGAATGGAACTGCCCCATAGGGTTTGCAAGGCTGTCAATCTTCACAGAAGCAGGAGGTCTCATCTTTGTCCTCAGGGCAGCTGGTAGATTTGAACCACTGACCTTTTGATTAGCAGCCAAATACTTCAACAACTACACCACCAGAGCTCTTTTTCCCAGCACCTTCCACAGACATGAGGCACACTGGCCGGGAATCGAACTCAGATCTTCTGCATGGGAGGCAGCTTCCTGCAGCCGGAATGGCAAGCCTGCCAGGGCCGCCAGTCCCACCTGTGCCCAGATGCTGACAGTGTTCATCTTCAGCCCTGCTGCTGGCACTGTGGGTGGGAAGACTGAGCCACTGGGGAGGGGAGCCTCACCCAACCAGCCGATGAGTCACTCTTCAGCCTGTCGGTGGGGCGGTGAGGCAGGTGGGAGGGAGCCGTGCAGAGGTGTCATCTGTGTGATACCCGGAGTCCCTGCAGATCTGTGTCTGCCACCTGGACCCCAGAGAGATGGGGCACGCCAGCACCTGCCCACACCTGCCCCAACACCCTTTCCTGTCCCCTGCAGGCCAGCCAGCTGGGTGTGTACCGGGCCTTCGTGGACAACTACGGCATTGCCATGGAAACGGTGGAGAAGTGCTGTCAGAGCAACGCACAGTTTGCAGAGATCTCCGAGGTACCGTGTGCGGCTGGCTGGCAGATGTGCCCTGGCTCCCACGCACCTTGCCACCCTAGGACAGGCTGGGGGCTGA